TGTTTTGTTACAAAAGCAGTATTTGTATGTCTTGTTCATTTGCCTTCCTTTTTTACTTTTTCACCACCTGACAAAAATAATTATCAAAGAGCTCCTGTTTAATATTTAGACAGTCCCTGCGCCTACGACTGTCTCTACCTCTTCAGGGAGCTCTCCAATCGCCCTCAAGAGCAGGCCGCTGAGGAGCTTTCTGGCCTGGTGCCTGGTCGTGGGGACTGCCTCTTTTTTAGCCCTGCGGGCCAATTTTTTTCAGATTCATTCGGCAAATTATTCTAGCTCGGCGCCTGCGAGACTCGGGGTAGGCTACCCTGCAGTACATGTATGCACTACAGGCAAGATGTTGCCTATCTACCAGGCGCGTGAGAGCTTTCACGCTGAACTCTGCAAGTTCGTAACGGCAAGTGACGGACGTAATTTTTTTCGACGATCCCTTTTTCACTATAGACACACCCCGGCTTAACACACGCAGTTTCCCAAATAAACACTTTTTTTTACGTTTCCTTCAAATTTTAGCACACAGCTCAGCCTACAGTCCGGCTAGCTAGTACATGTGCCTTGCTTTATAACTTTTCCACTATTAGGGCCCATTTACGATCGATTTTCTTAGTTAATATGAAATTTCCGTAGCATTGGTTCTTATGGTAGCACTTACGATCAATCCTTGGCTTAAATAAAATTCTTAGTTAGTAAAAACGGCCCGCTTAGTGAGAATCGTTTCCATCGGGATGGAAAATAAAATTTAAGCTAGCCTCTTGGTTAAAATAAACCCTTAAATTTTATCCCGCCGAGGGCGCGAAGTACGAACTAGCCAATGAGAATGGCGGAAATGCCAAACAAACATGGCGACGGCGCCAAGAATTTTACTTAACCTCGGAAACATGCGGAAACGATCGTAAATGCCTCTCCGCGAAAACCCCTTAAATTAATGACAAAACCGCCTTCGCATAAATAAAATCGAATTTATATTAACTAAGCCAAAACGATCGTAAATGGGCCCTTAGAAAAAAATCTACTGGCTCGTGTCTATTTTTTTCGTGTTTCTTTCAAATTTACCACATAGCGAGGTCTTTCCCTCTAGCTTCGTACCGAGCACTCCCTCATACAAATGGTACAACTGGCGGGAAATATTTGATACAAAGTTGACAAAGTCGTGCGAGTGTAGCCATGATTGAAACTGTTAAGGTTATCGCCCCTCACTTCATGTTTACTGTTGACCTTTACTAACTTACCGTTTGGCACTGGAATGTAGTAGTATTTGTTTCGGATTGGGAATAGTTCGCATAAGTCTAAGTAACGAGAAACTGGTGTAACGTTTGAGATTGATCCCTAAATTCCTCGTTAAAATGGACGATGACTACCAGTTAGCACTCTTACTTCAAAAGGAATTCAATGAAGAACCTCCTGAAGTATCTGACGTAAGTATTTTTTACCTCATATTCCCAATCTATCATCGTTCCATGTAAATATGGTTTCATTGTAATTTTGTCTTGCAGGACGTAACCTTAAAAAGTAAAAATAAACACCTGAACAGCCAGAAGTCCAGTTCATTGGTGGATCCTCAATGGGAATTTATTGATCCTACCCCTGATATTCATATCCTATTTTCACAATTCAATGAAAGATTTTTTTGGAGTAAACTTTATAGTGTAGAGGTGAAGTGGAGCCCAAGAATGACATCGTGAGTAGACTTAATATTTCATGCTGGATGTATCAAACTTCTGATACACATTTATTTTTGTATATGTGTTTCCTTTTGTCTGATTTCTATTATGTTGTCCACCCTAGCTGTGCAGGTGTGTGTGTATATCAGGGCCGCTCAGGTTTCTGTTCTGTCCGTTTGAGTCTTCCTTTACTAAAACTGCGCCCTCGGAAGGACCTCGTAGAGACATTATTGGTTTGTAACAGATTATTCTTATTCATACTGTAGTATTTTACCTTTGTAATGAAAGTTTTATTAACCCAGCTTTCTTTTTCACCAGCATGAAATGATCCATGCCTTTCTCTTTGTTACCAAAAATAACAGAGATAGAGATGGCCATGGACCAGAATTTCACAAACATATGAATCGTATCAATCAGGAGGCTGGCACTCATATTTCAGTAAGACACTAGTGTCCTGAATTTTTTCCTAACTAGAACCACTGTCTTTATATTTATACTTTTTTGCATAGGTATATCACTCTTTCCATGACGAAGTCCGACTGTATCAGCAACATTGGTGGAGGTGTGATGGACCCTGTCAGCGCAGACCTCCTTTCTTTGGCATGGTTCGACGCTCAATGAACCGAGCACCTGGACCCAGTGACAATTGGTGGGCTCAACATGAAGCAACTTGTGGGGGAAAATTTATTAAAGTTAAAGAACCAGAGAATACTAAGAAGAAGCCGTCTGAATCTAAAGCTAAAACATTAAATGGAGGTAAATGTACTTTCATTTTTATCAATGTTATAGCTCAAATTGAATCCTTCCCCTTTATTGTAACAACTGTCTGATTTCCTTTCAGATAAAAATATAAATGGCAAAGCAGACATACGGTCATTCTTTCCTGGAAGTGGATTGTCATCCAATCAAGGTTCAGTCCTTGGTAAACCCAATTTTTCCAGTACATCTGCAGGGAGTTCCAAAAATCATCAACCCACATTTGGCTTCCCTAAATCTGGCAATGTTCCAGTGGTGTCAAATGATGCTCCAAAGCATAATTTATTTAAGAAACCTGTAATGAACCATGTACATGGTTTTGGAAATGAGGCACCATCATCCTTCAAGCCTGTTGTTAATCCAGCTGTTAATAATGTTTTTGGCTTTAGAGATATGAATGGTCAAAGTAGCAGTAAACAACCAATTTCTAGTACTTACAGTGGTAAAGGTCATGTTCTCGGAGGAAAGGGAAAACCTCCTCTCCAAAATGGGAGGGTCCCCTTTGCTGGAATGCTGGCAAATAAAGGGACTGGAACCTTAGTAGTGTCTGGCAAAACCAACAAAACTCGTGGTTCAGAAGACTCTTTAGCCAAACCAAGAGCACCCCTAAACCAAACTACCGTGTTTTCTGGAACTGGTCAAGTTCTGGGTAAAGGAACGTCAAACTTATCGAACTCAGGCCATCCCCTTACCAGACTTATCAGCAATCCTCCGAAGAACCAAGTATCTGGGCCCAAAGAGGATGGTCTACAGGTGAGAGGAGAACCTTCTAAAAGGGTCTCACCAAATCCATTAGCTGGCGCAGCACCAAAGAAAAAATCCATTGATTCTACGTCAACCAATGATGGAAAGGTATATTCTGATGAAAAACCTAACACAGTGCTTTGTCCTGTATGCAATAAAAAAATTGTAGAGTCAGTCATTAACTCTCATTTGGATGACTGTATAAATGCTTGTTCCGATACTACAGAAAAAGCAGATGTTGTAGAAGTAGTAAGTAATTCTGATGAAGTTATTGTCCTTAGTGACACTGAGGAAGAATGTGATAAAGAATGTAAGAAACCTTGTCTCCAAGTTGACTGTCCAGGATGCAGTATGAAAATATTAGAAAGCGAACTAGATTCACATCTGTCTCTGTGTGTGAGTAATTCCTTTGACGAGGATTTAGTCGATATTACTCCAGGTGGTAGTAGCATGGCGAATTGTCCAATTTGTGGCCAGGAGATACCTGTCACAGACATGGATAAACATCTTGATAACTGTGCCAGCTGTAGTATTCAAGATATATCTCAAGTCTTTGATGAAGATTTTAGTGATGAGGAGGAAGATGCTGCAGTTGGCTCACCTTCAAAGCGAGTGTCTGAGTCTGGTGAACGCCTTTACCCATGCCCGTGTTGTCTGATACTGACTGAAAGTAGCAAAATGAATGAGCATCTTGATCAGTGCACAGTTTGATTTTTTCTCTTGGCTTAGGTCATGTCAATTTTTACTTTATTTTATGCCATTGTTTTCTTTAAATGACTTACTATTTTTAATTAAGACTTTGTATTCACCAAAAACATATTTGTTGTGGATGTGATATCGTAGTTTAAGTGGAATGTTTACTTTTCAAAGTTATAACTTATTCTATTCTTAAATTAAATGTACCATTGAGTATTGAAAATAAGACGATTGTCATTTACAGCATCATATTTTCACTGGTGCATCTAATTGTGATATTAAAACTCACTTTGTAATAAATGGTTCCTTTTATTTTTCTATTTTGTCTTATTGTTTGTTTGGAATGCACAATTCTCTTAACTCCCATTACTCTGCTCCTCCCCCCACCCCTCCCCCTCTTCCCTGTCGACGTTCAACAAGTGGTTGGATTGTTGTCAGCGGTGAGGAGGGTGAGGCAGGCCGGGGGTTGACCGACGCATGTGTAAAAACACACCCTCTTGACGGGGTGCCCCGTGTGTCCCGGGCCTCAGGACACCTTCACTCACCACCATGTCCGTCGTCACCGACAACGTGTTCCCCAGCGTGAGCAGTGGGGCCACGGGGAGTGGTGGTGCTGCCGGAAGCCTGGCATCCAGGGTGGGAGTCTATACACGAGGGTTGTGGTTGAAAAGAAATTATTAAAATAGATTATTCAATGTGTTTATTAACTGGGCTCAGCGCTCTCCACGCAATCGGCGGAAGGGGACCCGCTTGAAGCAAGACGGCAAGGAGAAGGTGGTATTGGCCAGCAAACTAGAGAAGGACCAGATAGAGGCGATCCACGATTTGTTCAAGGTCAGGTGTTACACCCAGCCGGGCGACGAACAGTCAAAAGCACTCACAGAAAAATGGTGACTTGATCTATATCTCTACAAAAGATTAAATTTTCTATTCAAACAAGACAATATATCGTCTCGGGAATACGATTCTTCGAAAGATATCGGTTTGTTCCAAGACTAAATTTGATCTTTGGTCAGCATTTAGTACTTGGAATAAGAACAAAAATTTATTTGAAATAAACCGTTTTTCTGTGTGCATTGGTAGAGACTGCGGTATACTTATCACCATAAGTAAACCTGTGGCCTGCGCGCCTGTAGCTAGGCATTCCCCTTTCACCTCAGCTGCGCGTGACAGGCCTGTACACGGCAGTGCGCAACTGTGTCTTGTGTTTGTGTCCGCAGGGCAAACTGCATCTGGACCCCGACAGGCCGCGACTCATGGGTTCTGTGCGTCATTTGGGATTTGTCTACTTCTGCTGCTCTTGGAGGTTCCGTGCCTGTCATTCGCTTGCTTACTCTTAGGAGTTTGAACTCACCAAGCTGCGCCAGGACGAGCTACGCGACATGCTACGAGAGTTCAACATCACGATGAATGACGAAGACTTTCGCGTCATATTTCTGAAGGCAAGTCTCGTGTCTGCGTGGCGCCTCGAGCGGCCCAAGACACCCACCGGGGCCAGAGAGGAGAGCAAAAGTTTCTGTGCAGTGCAAACGGAAAACACCGTCCCAGAAACTCGCCCAGAAACCACCGTCCAAATGTCGTCAGATGGACACGAATCGCAGCGGCAGCATCACGTGGGACGAAGTGGTGTCGCACCTCATGGTCGAGCTGGCGGAGAGCACCGGCGGGCGCGGCGGCCTCGGGGGCGAGGGCGGCGCCCCGGGCCCCACCACCGAGCTGCTCACCGACCCCATCAACGCCCTGCCCGAGGTCATCCGCTCCCCCCACCGAAACCCCATCATTCGCATCACCTACTGGCCCGAGGTGTCCCCGGACCGCTCCTACAACTACCTGCAGGGGAGCTTCGTGTCCGCGAGCCACGATGGTGCCGTGCAGTACTGGTCCATGGACATGCGGCGCTCGCGGCTGGTGCAGTCCAAGACGGGTTAGTCGCTCAGCCGCCAGAGTGCGAACAATGTGGCTTCTCAGGCCGATCGCCGAGGCCGAGAGAAATTCTCAGTTTTTCTTGGCCCCGAGGCCCGCGCGATCACCGATCAGCCTGAGATGCCACATTTTTCGCGCTCTGGCAATTGCACCACCACGCGACCTCGCGCGGCCTCTCTGACGGCCACCTCAGTCTTGCTCAGGGTGCGGCCGACCAGGCTGACGGACCTGGTGTGCATGCCCGACGTGAACATGGTCTGCACCAGTTCGACGGAGCGCGAGCTCCGCTTCTACGACAGCAGAGCTGCGCGGTGGGAGCTTCGAGTGCTGGCAAGTATGGACCACGCTCCCACCCCTTACTGCCAAAACAAAAGCTGCAGGGTCCCTGTCGAAGCGCGGCCTCACTCGGCCCTTCACGCAGGTCTCTGGGATGGACAAGCCGGTCGTCACCATGTACTACCACATGAGCGAGGCGGAGCACGAGGAGTCGACGCTCATCCTGGGCGACACGGGCGGCACTCTCAGGACGTTCAACTTCAACAGCGTCATGTGCGGGCCCTTTAAGCAGCACGTCGGCAAGGAGGTCACACACGTCCTCTTCAAGGACCTTTGCAAGGTACGTACGGGTGGATGGATAGGTGTTAGGTACCCAGTCGGGGCGGTCCACACGGCTGCTGGGCGGGTTGGCCTGCCCAGTGCGTGGATGGCGTGGGCCGAGGCGGCCGTGGGGTTGCACGCTCCTGCAGCTCACTACTTGTCGGGCAGGGCGGGCTGCCGGGGCTGCGGGTGGCGCACTTCCCCGCGGTGCACACCAACTGGGTGCGCCAGGTGTACTACTACGCGTCGCTGCAGTCCATCGTGTCGTGCGCCGCCTGCCCGCGGCCATCGCTCTTCATGTGCGACGCGGCGGGCACCAAGAACCAGTACAACTACAACATCCCCAGCGGCGTCTACTGCTTCTGCGCGTCTGAAGGTCAGGC